TTTTAAAACAGTGACGGTGTCTCTTTAAATTAGACGTAAAGGCCCTTTTCACACCGAGTCCGAAATTTTCGTATGCGTTTTTTCGTATTCGTGATTCGGTGGCTCTGAATTGTCAAAACACCATTCAAACTGCTTGCTATGGATGCGAAAACGCAGAAAATCGGACCCGATTCGATTTTTTTTTTATTTTTATGATGGACGAAAGTTTTCGGAGGCAGTGTGCAAGCATCATTGACATAACGTGAGGTCGTATTTATTTTTTAACGTGCACGAATTTCGGACTCGGTGTGCAATGGGCCTAAGACTTAATTTTCTACGATAAAGCGACTCTCCAGTGTGTTCATGATTTACTCATGTCTAGGGTTGGGTATCGAGAATCGCGTATCGATTGGAATCGGGACTAACTTTTCGTTTTTCCCGGAATCGTTCAAAAGTTACAATTTTGATTTGATTGAAACCGCTGAACAACACCAACGAAGAAGCGTCTACCGGAAGTGTTGGCATAACCACGTGAGTCGAACATGAGTACCTTACGTCGGCGATCCAAAGTGTGGCTTCACTTTTCTAAAAATAACGAAATCTCGGCAAAATGCGAAATTTGTGACAAAAGGAGTATTTGTGACAGAAGGAGTATTTCCTTCAGAAAGACCGTTGGTTAGCAAGGTTAGCTAAACTTTTTTGACCCTGCCTCTTAAAAGAATCGGAATCGAGAATCTTTAGGAACCGGAATCGAAACAAGGAATCGGAATCAGAATCGTTCAAATTCAAACGATACCCAACCCTACTCATGTCTGACCTTTTCGAACTGAACAGAAGAAATGAACCATCCACAATACTGCTAAATACTTTTAAAGGGATAGTTCACCCACACTAAAATGAAAATTACGTCTGTAATTACTCGCCCTCATGTTGGTCCAATCCCGTAAGACTTTCGTTCATCTTGAGAACACAAATTAAGATATTTTTGATTACACCTGAGAGCAGGATCACTCCTCCATAGGCTTCTATTGTAATTGAAAACTGCCGGTGTTCTGTCGATTTTTGCTGCCTTGTCGAAAAATGCTACCGTAGCGCGAATTGATCACAGAAGGCCGATTAAAGTCGTATGAAATGCAATTCTAATACAATTCTAAGTTATGAGTAGCTACTGTATACTGTAGACTACTGTTTTTATTTTTAAAACAGTGTGATAAGTAAAAATTATCATAAAATATTCATGTTTGACTTGTCAAAGTACACTTTTCCTCATAGTAACTGAAACTTTGAATTATTCTTTTTCAGCTGGCTGACCGTACAAATATTCACATGGTAGTAAGCATTTTTTAAAGGGAAGTTATACATTATAACAGGAAAATGTACCTTTTGTAAAAAAAAAAAAGTGAGACTGCACATGCGCATAACCGGTAAGTAGCAAATCTCGATGGGTAGCATGAACCGTCAGAACACCGGACCGGAAAGTTAAAAAGTTCCCGTAGCCAGAACGTAGGCTCACTATTGGCCGACGCTGGATCGTTTGAATTTGAACGATTCTGATTCCGATTCCTTGTTTCGATTCCGGTTCCTAACGATTCTCGATTCCGATTCTTTTAAGAGGCAGGGTCAAAAAAAGTTTAGCTAACCTTGCTAACCAAGTCTTTCTGAAGGAAATACTCCTTTTGTCACAAATTTTGCATTTTGCCGAGATTTCGTTAATTTAAAAAAAAAAAGTGAAGCCACACTTTGGATCGCCGACGTAAGCTACTCATGTTCGACTCGCGCGGTTATGCCAACACTTCCGGTAGACGCTTCTTCGTTGGTGTTGTTCAGCGGTTTCTTCTTCCGCTCGGCGGACTGTGAATATCGAAACTAGGAATCGAAATTTTAACTTTTGAACGATTCCGGGAAAAACGAAAAGTTAGTCTCGGTTCTCGATACCCAACCCTAGTCATGAGTGTGAGCCTACGTTCTGATGTGTTACACTACGTGAACTTTTATTTTCATTTTTGGGTGAACTATCCCTTTAATCCCAAAGTAATTTGAATTCCAGATTTTCAATGTGAACCAAGCTTGGCATCATATCATGTGTCCAGTGTGTGTGGTGTGCATAATGGCTGCCTAATGTATGCAAAGCGCTCCAATTTAGTCCGTTAAGCAGTCCCGTGACAGTTAGCGCATTGCCATAAAAGCTACGGTAATTGAGCTCACTAGGTTTTAGAAAGCAGCTAATGTGTCTGTCTGTCTCTGTGTGCAGTATGCAGACTCCGACAGCGGCGATGACTCCGATAAGAGGTCCTGTGAGGAGAGCTGGAGGCTCATCTCTTCTCTCAGAGAGAAACTGCCTGCTAACAAGGTCAGACACGCACCCCTGGAACACCTATACATTGATGCTGAACCCATTTGACTTATTCACTTGGTTTGTCTCTCTAACACACGCACAATCAGACTTGTTTTGAAATTGCTTAGGTTATTGATTCATTTAAATAAGCTGCTAACCTTGGAGGATTGCCTTTGCGGCTTTGGGATCTCATTCATTGTCATGTGTGTTTTGTTCTCAGGAGTGTATATGTGTGTTTTTGTACATTATAACGTATTAATTTACACATACTTTTGTCACAAAGCTTTTATATGGCTTCAGAAGACTTATTTTGAAATTTTGCACACGTCAACATGAACCACTTTTATGAGACTTTTTATGAGGCCTTTTTTAGGCATTTTTCAGTCTTCGTTCTCTCTCTTTGTGTTGTAAAGAGCGGCCAGGATATTATTAAATTCTGATTTTGTGATCCATGCTATAAAATAAGCTATGGTTTGGAACAACTAAGAGTGAGAATATGAAAATACTTTTTTTTACATGTTATGCTCCATAATATGCAGTATTTTGCTATAATTTTACATTTCCAAGAAAGAGAGGAAATATTTATTTACTTATTTAGGGAGACCAGATTTATTTTTTATTTTATCAAAGATCAACTTTAAAATAAAGTTTTTTTACTTGCCTTTTATCTGTTATGTTTTCCTTTTTTGCTCGCAATGGATATAGCAGTGTTTGGTGGCATGATGTTAAATAATAAACAATCAATCATTGCATCTTGCTGTCATATTTCTAAAAAAAATAATATCTTACACCTTGAGTGTTTTTGTGACGCAATCTTAAATGAGTAGTATTTACTCACTCCCATGTCTTCCAAGATGTCCACGTCATTCTTTCTTCAGTCGAAAAGAAATTAAGGTTTTTGATGAAAACATTCCAGGATTTTCTCCATATAATGGACTTCAATGGGGACCAAACCGTTCAAGGTCCAAATGAGAGTTTCAGTGCAAACAGCAAACTGTTCAAAGGGCTTTAAACGATTCCAGACGATGAATAAGGGTCTTATCAAGCGAAACGATCGCTCATTTAATAAAAAAATAACAAAGTTTAAGTTTTATAAGCTCAAACGCTCGCCTTGCTCTGTTCTGTGACTCACGTTCGTGACTCTCCTGTTCGAACTCGTTTATCAAAATGAACAAATCTTTTTTCGTGTCATTTGGTTGATTCAACGAACAAAATGAACGAATTGACTCGGGAAAAGATTCGTTCATTTTGATGAATGAGTTTCGAATAGGAGAGTCACGAACGCGCATCACAGAATAGAGCAAGACAAGCATTTGAGCTTATAAAACTTAAACTTAGTTCTTTTTTTTTTTTAAATGAGCGATTGTTTCGCTTGATAAGACCCTTATTCATCGTCTGGAATCGTTTAAAACCGTTTGGTCCCCATTGAAGTCCATTATATGGAGAAAAATCCTGGAATGTTTTCATCAAAAACCTTAATTTCTTTTCGACTGAAGAAAGAAAGACATGGACATCTTGGATGACATGCGGGTGAGTAAATTATCAGCAAAAGTTTTATTAAAAGTGAACTACTCCTTTAAGATTGAGTTTTAAAAGCTCATCTCGAGAACACTGCATTCTGTTTCTGAACATTTCATTTCTGTCTCTGGCCAGGAAGTGAGTCTTCTGTTCTCGCTAAATGTTTGCAGATGCAGTCTATCGTGAAGAAGTGTGGTTTGCCCAGCAGTGGGAAGAGGAGGGAGCCGCTGCGTGTGTATCAGATCCCACAGCGCCGACGCATACCCGGCTCCCAGGAGCCCAAACACAGACTCAGCCTGGAAGAGCTTCGCACACAGGCTGTTAAAGAGATCTGCTATGAGGTGCCTCATTGTGTTCCATACGTGGCTAAAAATAGTGCTCATTTATCTAGGTTAAAGTAGTAGTTCACTTTTGAAAAAACTTTTGCTGATAATTTACTCACCCCCATCATGTCATCCAAGATGTCCACGTCTTTTATTAAGGTTTTTGATGAAAACATTCCAGGATTTTTCTCCATATAATGGACTTCAATGGGGACCAAACGGTTCAAGGTCCAAAAGAGAGTTTCAGTGCAGCTTCAAAAGGCTTTAAACGACACCAGACGATGAATAAGGGTCTTATCAAGCGAAACGATCGCTCATTTAAAAAAAAACCCAACAAAGTTTAAGTTTTATAAGCTCAAACGCTCGCCTTGCTCTGTTCTGTGATGCGTGTTTGTGACTCTCCTGTTCAAAATCGTTCATCAAAATGAACAAATCTTTTTTCCAGTCATTTGGTTGATTCAACGAACGGAATGAATGAATTGACTCAGAAAAAGATTTGTTCATTTTGATGAACGAGTTCGAGTCACGAATATGCATCACAGAACAGAGCAAGGCGAGCATTTGTGCTTATAAAACTTGAACTTGTTATATATTTTTTTAAATAAGCGATAGTTTCGCTTGATAAGACCCTTATTCATCATCTGGAATCGTTTAAAGCCCTTTGAACAGTTTGCAGTTTGCACTGAATCTGTCATTTGGACCTTGAACCGTTTGGTCCCCATTGAAGTCCATTATATGGAGAAAATCCTGGAATGTTTTCATCAAAAACCTTAATTTCTTTTCGACTGAAGAAAGAAAGACATGGACATCTTGGATGACATGGGGGTGAGTAAATTATCCGCAAAAGTTTTTTGAAAAGTGAACTACTCCTTTAATGTTCGCATGAGTGGCCGTGTAAAGTGACTTATGTTAGGCTTCTACTAGCATATTTCAAGTTTGAGGTCAATGAATGATCAGCGAACGTTGCCCAGCATATTTACCACATGGCCAGTGTTAACGATTTTGAAAATAATTCCAATATTATTGTTCCTCTGTCCCGTTTTAGTGTGTACTTTTACATTTTAAAAACTGTAATTATCGTCCTTTGTATGAATGGGTTTTTAGCACACAGAAAGCTGATTGGCTTGTCACCTGCTTATGTAAGAGTCTGCAAGACATTAATTTACATTAATAGGAGCACCTCTTTTTATTCCTCCTCTTAAGGTGGCGCTTGGAGACTTTCGGCACACACGGCAAGAGATCGAGGCCTTGGCCATTGTCAGGATGAAGGAGCTTTGTCGGACATACGGGCAAAAAGACCCTCAGGAGCGAGAGACTTGGAAAAGTGTGGCGAAGGACGTATGCGAGACTGTGGGCATCGGAGAAGAGGAGGGAGACCGGGAGGAAAGAACAACAGCAGGAGGAGGAGGGAACGAGGGAGGAAAGACCGATATGGGAGATCTCAAGGCTCATATTGACAAGTTGACTGATATACTGCAGGAAGTGAAGATACAGAATAATATGAAGGATGAGGAGATACGATCGCTAAGGGATCGCATGGTGAAGATGGAGAAAATATTCCCTGTCGAAGTTCAGGTAACGCTTGTATATCTACTGTAGAATCGGCCACACTTCTTCTCCCCGGTCCACTTTATAACTGTATTATGCAAACGAAACTGGCTAAAAATCTGATAGACTCGCCATACGCAACTTCCAGGTGTCGGTGCAACGTTTGTGCTTAAGTTGTGCTTAAAAATATATGTTATTTATTAATTGAATTAAAATATTGATGTGTTAATTTGGCATTCATTATTTTCGATAAACCTGTCCCGAAACGGCACTTCAAAACAAACTGCAATTAACAATTATGCATTGAAGAAGGAAATACAAATCATATACTTGTATTAAAGGAGTTGTTCACTTTTAAAAAAACGTTTGCTGATAATTTACTCACCCCCATGTCATCCAAGATGTCCATGTCTTTCTTTCTTCAGTCGAAAAGAAATTAAGGTTTTTGATGAAAACATTCCAGGATTTTTCTCCATATAATGGACTTCATTGGTAACCAAACGGTTCAAGGTCCAAATGAAAGTTTCAGTGCAGCTTCAAACGAGTCCAGACGATGAATAAGGGTCTTATCAAGTGAAACGATCGCTCATTTAAAAAATAAATAAAAAGTTTAAGTTGTATGAGCACAAATGCTCGCTTTGCTCTGTTCAGTGATGCGCGTTTTTGACTCTCCTGTTCGAACTTGTTCATCAAAATGAGCAAATCTTTTTTCGAGTAATTTCGTTCATTTTGTTTGTTGAATCAACCAAATGACTCGAAAAAAGATTCGTTCATTTTGATAAACGAGTTCGAACAGGAGAGTCACGAATGCGCATCACTGAACAGAGCAAGGCGAGCATTTGTGCTCATAAAACTCAAACTTTTTATTTATTTTTTAAATGAGCGATCGTTTCGCTTGATAAGACCCTTATTCATCGTCTGGACTCGTTTGAAGCTGCACTGAAAGTGTCATTTGGACCTTGAACCGTTTGGTTCCCATTGAAGTCCATTATATGGAGAAAAATCCTGGAATGTTTTCATCAAAAACCTTCATTTCTTTTCGACTGAAGAAAGAAAGACATGGACATCTTGGATGACATGGGGGTGAGTAAATTATCAGCAAAAGTTTTTTTTAAAAAAGTGAACTCCTTTAAAGGTGTGACATCATGTAGTGGTCAACCAATATATTGTCAAGGCCAATAAATCAGCCGATATTTCATTTTATTTTTTTAATGCTTCGCACAAGTGGGACTTTTATTTTGGTTTAATCCCTTCTTTCACTGACATTACCATCTCGATTTCGAAATAGTGAGAAACAATGTTTTTCATAATGTACTTGAGTAAAATTAAGATATTATGCTTTGGAACGTAATGAAGTAAAGTATTATTTCCAAACACATAAAGTAGAGTTAGAAGCAACAAGGTAAAAACACTAATCACTCTATGTACCTTAAAATCCAATGTCAAGATTCTCTTGGTATTTTTTGTATTTCAGGGAGACGATGAGGACGTTGAAATTGACGGGGCCAGAGATGATAAACCGGCAGCACAAGTCCACCGACGCGATGAGGATTCTGGGTACCGGCGGGGTCGTCATCGTTGGCAGTACCCGGAGAAGTACCACGACCCTAAACGCCGCAGAGGAACCAACAATCAGCCGAACAGCGTCCTCTACACCGCTCCCTCGGGACACTCTCAGAACAACCCGTTTAGTACAGCATCATCTCGGTTCTCAAATCCATCCTTCAATCCTCAAAGCTCTCGCAACCCCAACGGGCCTTTCATGCCAGGCACCGGACGCTTTTTGCCGCCTCAAGAGAGGAAGCTACAGTTCCCGTTTAAGAATAATCCCCAGCACAGAGGCTTCTTCTGGGGACCGTCTGCACACCAAGAAGGTGGACAGGACCCATCGGCTCAGTCTACCACTGATTTGGTTCATACCTTCCAATCTTCTCCCGTACCAAACAAGGGCCAATGGCAACACAATCATCATCAACAACAACGGCGCAATCAGGGGAACTGGGGTAACAGGCAACGGCCACGAAACAGGGGACGCAATCCATTCGATGGATATTTAACCAACGAGCAGGCTGGGAACGCTGAGCGGAGAGACGGTGGGCAGCACAAGCAAGGTAGAGCACGTTACACCTGGTACAATCCCAATTTTGCTTCAGATCAGTCTGTTGGAGATGGATTCCAGCACTATAACTACAACCAAAGCCGCCAAGGTCTTTACAAACACCCCAACCACTACCAGCACCCTCATACGCAGGACAACCCTCCAGAGATGACCCAATTTAGGTCTGAAGCCAATCCCAATCCACCTTCTATCCCAGATTACAACAACACCCCCATGGAGACCTGATTACACCTGATCTTGCGCGTTGTTCTCGGAAAGGAAACCTCGGGACCCTCAGATACAGTGTTGTGGTTTGTTGTGGGAGGGTTTTAGATGATGAAATGTGCAATAACAATGCTGTACGAAAGAAGACGAAACATTTTATGCACCAGAATTTTTTATGTACATATTGCAGTTTCGACATGTGCGCACATATCTATATGTTATTCAGATGTATATATATAAAAGTAGGTTATCAATTGAAAGCATACGTATTTGCAAGAGAATTGAGGTTCTTATGTCGCACAATGCACTGCAACGTTTATATTATGCGATGGTTGAATGAAGATATTTGGAGAGTTTTGTTGGAAATCTAATGATTTTTACATTGTGCCTTCTTGAAAAGCCAAAGAATTTGGTGATTTATTAGCCTCATTACCTTTTTTTTAAAGTTGCTGTTTTTCCTCCTTTTTTATCTTGCTGTTCATTTATGTCCTTTTATTCTTGCATCCTGAGGGGCATGTGTTTTAGAAATTGTCTTCTGTTGTTAGGGGATAAAAAGACATGGGATACATAATCCTAAAACTGTTAAAGAAGTTCACTTTTTTTAAAAAACTTTTGCTGATAATTTACTCACCCCCATGTCATCTAAGATGTCCATGTCTGTCTTTCTTCAGTCGAAAAGAAATTAAGGTTTTTGATGAAAACATTCCAGGATTTTCTCCATATAATAGACTTCAATGGGAACCAAACGGTTCAAGGTCCAAATGAGAGTTTCAGTGCAAACTGTTCAAAGGGCTTTAAATGATTCCAGATGATGAATAAGGGTCTTATCAAGCGAAATGATCGCTCATTTAAAAAAATAAATAACAAAGTTAAAGTTTTATTTGCTCAAATGCGATGAGCTTATGTGATGAGCGTTCGTGACTCTCCTGTTCGAACTCGTTCATCAAAATGAACGAATCTTTTTTCGAGTCATGACTCGAAGGGACTAGATAAGACCCTTATTCATCGTCTGGTGTTGTTTACAGCCTTTTGAAGCTGCACTAAAACTGTCTTTGGACCTTGAACCGTTTGGTTCCCATTGAAGTCCATTATATGGAGAAAAATCCTGGAATGTTTTCACCAAAAACCTTAATTTCTTTTCGACTGAAGAAAGAAAGACTTGGACATCTTGGATGACATGGGGGTGAGTAAATTATCAGCAAAAGTATTTTTTTTTTTTTTTTTTAGTGAACTTCTCTTTAAGTGCTAACAATTAGGTTTGTTCTTTTTGTTACCTTGCCCTAATCGGGCGCATCCTGATAAAAAAGGCGCATCTCTTCTCTGTTCAGGTGCAATCACACTGACAACACTTTGCTGCAGCGAAGTGACAAAGCAATTCATTTTCAATGAGAGTTGGCAGCAAACATCTTAAGCGGAGTTCAAATCCCGCAGCTGTATACTAAAAACAAACGATCTGATGCGCTATTATATTTATCGTTTCACGCATCATTTAACGTACAGGGAAAAAATATTTGATGTTTGATTCTTATTTTTGGCCAGAATAAGCTACAGAGTGGACATGCCAATAGTCAAATGTCTGACTCTGTGACACTAGCCAAATACTGCATCTTTTCAATGGATTGTACTGTTGTTCAATAAGGTGCTGATGAAATATCTTTCCAAAAGACTTTCAGTAGACGACACCTTTAGCTTAGGGTCTAATTCTCACTATTAACTATGACTTTTGTCTTCATTAACTCCTAATTACTGCTTATTAATAGGTGGTTATTAAGTTTAGGTATTGGGTATAATGCATGCTAATAGTGAGAATTGGACGCTAAACTGAAGTGTTGCCGATTTTTAGTTTTTTAAAGTGACTTTTATACAGCCTAACTATCTTTCAGCCTTGTTTTCATCCATGTTAAATTCAATATGGTGTCTACCCTGACTGATGTCTGTTCTCAGACAGTTGATTGAAAAATAAATCATGGGCAACAACCATTGAAATCTTGCTGTATTCTTGTCGCACCTGGTTCTCCTATTTTCAACGTTTTTAAGTTCTCAATTGAAAATAATATACAAATGGGAAAAAAATGTGTTACTTTAATTGTTCCAGTTGATGTATTTATTTAAAAAAGCACAATAAATAGTTTGTGTATAGTTTCCAAAATACAGTACAGACAAATATGTTAGTAGTTGATATTTTCTGCATACTTTTCTTTAAATAAAATAAACGCACAACAAAAATAAGTGGCGAGAACTGCGGTTAAAGGTGCAATTTGAGTATTTAGTAACTAGGGTTGTGAAACGATTAATCGCATCCAAAATAAAAGTTTGTGTTTACATAATATATGTGGGTGAACTGTGTATAATTATTTTGTATAAATAAATACACACACATACATGTATATATTTTAGAAAAATGTGTCATTTATACATATACTATATATATATATATATATATATATATATATATATATAAGCAAACATTTCTTAAATATTTTCACGTGTGTGTGTGTGTGTGCATTTATATTTGTAAAATGATTTAACACAGTACACATACATTTATTTTGTAAACACAAACTTTTATTTTGGACAGTGGTGGAATGTAACGAAGTACAAATACTTCGTTACTTTACTTAAGTACATTTTTCACGTATCTTTACTTTACTTAAGTACAATAAATAGTGCCTACTTTTTACTTTTACTTCGTTACATTTTGCAGCAATTATTATACTTTCTACTCCACTACATTTCTACAACTTCTGTTACATTTTCGTTACATTTTCTGATCAGTTTTTCCCCTGCCAAAACGCAATCTGACCGTCCGTTCGTTGCACGTTTGTCTCACCAGTGACGTTTGGTTGCCATAGATACAGTATATCAACCCGGTCACACTAAATGCGTCTCACACGCAGTGTGTTTATCGTGCAACTCATACGCGAAGGGCTGGGCGATATAACGAGTATGTACGATGTATCGTTATATTTTTTGAAACGATATGGAATGAGGCAGTATATCGATACAGTAGTTTGATATGAGCACATCTGAAAAATAGCGGAAGTTGTGTGAGCTGCTGCAGTGAAAGTAGCAAGGCTACGTAGTACAATTTGTCCTAAACATGACACAAGCTTATATTAATTGCATCAAAATCACTTTGATATAGTTAGCAAGTTTAAGGCAGCTTGCCGCCCTGTCAAATGCTCTGACAGACACTGTTGCTGACTGACAGATCTACTTGCGCTGTTTAATGCGTTTGAGATGTGGTGCTTTCCTCAGTGCTCAACTTACATTTCACATATTCTCCATCTGTAAATGTTAGAAAGTAAAGCAAATATGTCCATTTCACAACAAATATGTCCATGTCAGAAGAGGACGAGCTTCTGCAAGTGAATCTCCGCTAAAATTCATGCTTCCTTGAACGAGCGCCGGCGCGCGCATGCGCGTGAATAGTACTACGTAGTACGCAATAATTCTGACTAAAATAAACATATTGCTAAAATATTTGTTGTTGGAGAAAATAAATGTGCCATATGTGGAATTTTAAACCTACAAGTATATATTTTTAATAAAAGTGAAAGTGATTATAATGGGGTAATCAAATGCAGGCTAATATAATTAGTTTGTGCTTTTGTTTTTGTTTTTATTTTCATTTTGAGTTTAGCTTTTAGTCAATATAAAAACAAAAGCTTTTTGCACATAATATATTGCATAGCCTATATTATATTTGTTTCCATATCCTTCAATATCAACATTGTTTGTAGGGTATCATTGGGCCGAATGTATTTTTTTTTTTAAATATAAAGATTTTCTTTATCTAAATAGAAAACGTAGAAAGTACCGAGATATATATCGTATATCGCCATTTGACCAAAAAATATCGAGATATGATTTTTTGGCCATATCGCCCAGCCCTACGCGAAAATTTGTTTTTATGTGCATAGGAAACACACCGTGTGTAATATTGGTTTGGTTAGGATATGGCAAGCCAAGAGGTTCAGAATTACACCATAAATTCATCTCGTTTACTGCCAAACATAGTTATTAACATATAGTAAGGATGATGTAGGCTATATTGCCTAATTGCAAGCTTGTTTCAGAAATGGTGACATTTTTTTCCATCATTATTGAACATCATTATAGGAGTAGGCTATTAGGTTGAATGAGTTAGAATTAAATGTTTTATTAATCATTAGAAAATAGACATTAAGATAATAAATTGTTATGCAAGTACTTTTACTTTTAATACATAAAGTACATTTAAAATAAAGTACTTTTTACTTTCTACTTAAGTATGGTTGTCATTGTGTTACTTCTACTTTTACTAAAGTAAATATTTATCTGGGTATTTGTACTTTTACTTAAGTACTGAGATTCAGTACTTCCTCCACCACTGATTTTGGATGCGATTAATCGTTTCACAGCCCTATGAACAGAAATGCAGTATGACATCCATAACTATGTTTTCAGTGGTGTATAAAGAACATAATAAAAAAAAAACGTAATTTTTTTATTACCGGCTTAGAATGAGACATTTATATAATCTCCATAACCGCGGGCACCCGCTTCTACCTAGGTCGCCATATTGTGGCGTCATATGTTTCTACCGTAGCCGAACGCGAACACACAGCGCTACAGAGCTTTTCATCACTACCGTGAAAGAGAAGTAGCTGAAAGCTGGAAGCCATAAACACCGTGAGTAACGTTAGTGACTTTTCCCTTGTCAGTAGTGTAAAATATGTAACGTTAGTTGGGTTGTTTCATGTAACTTAGTTCTCCCTCACCAGATAAAGGTCCGTGTTACATTTAACCCCGCGTTAGGTTGTGCCCCGCGCTCCCTACTCTTTTTCCTTGTTACCTGAACCGAGAAATTACTGTTTATTTGTCAGCAAAACTTTTGACAACACCAGCTTTCTTGAAAACTAGACTGTCCTTCCGCATTTGTCAATGGGACCAACCTGTAAAAGCATGAATTTATGCTGTGAAAACGGACATTTTAACATGGGATCTATGGATATTTGGGACCTCCCTCTAGCGGATTTTAGATGCATTGCAGTTTTTCGCACTTCGGGTAGGCTTAATTTTTCAGATTAGAATGTTGCCGCTTGATTAGCCTACAGATGAGCTAAGAATGCTATTGCCATAGTGTTCCATTTTTACCATAAAGAGTATATTTACGTTACATACATTTACATTACATATTTTAAAGAGTAGACAAAGTATGAAGCAATTTTAAATTATAAACCTTACAATAACTGTTTTGTTAACAACCCTCTGTCGATCCGACTGAGGTACAAAAATGCGGAAGGACAGTCTAGTTTTCAAGAAAGCTGGAGCTGTCAAAAGTTTTGCTGACAAACAGTAATTTCTCGGTTCAGGGAACACGGAAAAAGAGCAAAGGTTAATTTAGCTACATATCGCTACTGTAATATATGATGGCTGCCAATCTGAACACACAACCAGAGGACTCGCACTCTATAGAGCCAAAGCTCAAGAAACTGTTCATTAATAAAGCAACGGGCCGCCGTGACCTTCATTTTAGAATTAATTATAAATTATGC